TCTTCATGATCACCTTCTCCTGATGACATGTTCATGGGTGAACCTGCTGGCATTTGAAATACCAGTGGTGTAGCTTCCAGCATCATAGCAACATGCAAGCCACAATAATATGGCAAACGTAGGGCTTCTTTCACTTGTACAAGTGTGTGTGTGTGTGTGTGTGTGTGTAGGTAGGTGGGGTGACTGCCGTGAGGATTAAGTGAGAAAGTTACACAAGCACCTACTCTGAGCCTGGCACATAGTAGGCTCTTCACAGACCAGAGGCCCTTCCTTTCATCCTGTCAGAAGGAAGCCAGATCTTAATTTAGTGGGAAAAGTGGAAAGAATTTTTGAAGCAAAGCCCGCAAGAGTATGTTCCCACTGTAGTGACCACCAGTCATTTGGGGAGACAGGCAGGAGGAAAGTGTGTGTGGTTATGGAAATGCAGCCACTGTGGTAATAGAATCTGGGTTTTTGCCTAAAGTGGCAGGTGCAATGTACAGGCTGGAGTCAGTATGTTTATTTTTTCTATTTGGAGAAAATCTTGGCTGCCAGGTACAATTTACCTGGAAATTTACAAAGATTAGCAATTTGGTAATTTTCCCATGTGAGGGCTTTTTTTTTTCTTTCCATTTATGGCTTACTCTAGATCTTGCTGGACCCTAAGCTCCTTGAGGACAGAGCTGTGTCTTGTTTCCTGATAAATCCCCAGATCCTAGCATATTACCTGGCACCTACTAAGTACTCAATAAAAATGTGTTGTATGAAATTGGGTTTACTGCTTTGGAGAGAATAGCTTTATTTTACATGTTGGCTCTAAACTTCCACAAATACTTAAAATGTGGAAGAGGTTTTGGATTTAGATAATGGGTAAAGGCTGTAAGAGTTTTAAGGTGCCTAATAGTAAAAGCCTAGATTGACTTGAAGAGACTACTGGTAGAATTATGGACATCAAAGGCAATTCTGGTAAGAGCTCAACAGGAAGTAAGGAGAGTTATAGAAAAAGTCTCTGTCATCTTAGAGAATACATATGGCACCAGCAACAGAATGTTGCTAGAAATGTGGACTTTAAAAGTGCCTCTGAGTAAGCATTGCAATATAATAAAACCAGAAAAATGGTATATGTTAACACTGACAAAACCTTGGAAATTTGAAAAATATTGAAGAGAATAGATATGTCCTAAACATTCTTGAGAGTTTTGTTTTTGTTCTTCTAGATTAATATCTACATATATGTATTGTTCTGGTTACCTAGTGCCGCTCTGACAGGAATATACCACAAATGGGATGGCTTGAACAAATAAGAGTTTATTCTCTTACAGTTTGGAGGCTTTAAGTCCAAGTTCAAAGTGCCAGGCTCTAGGGGCTGGGTGAAAGCCCCTCAACCTTGGGCTTCAGCTCTGTCACCTGCTCCCAGCCCACTGAAGCTGGAGGCTTTTCTTCATTCAGATAGCTGTTAGCTGCTGAGGCTAACAAAACCAAGGTTGATGAATAAAAATACAGTCCCAATGTTACCAAACAACACAGCAGGCCATTAATTCAAGTTCATTAAAAGTCCCAAGATCAGCAGAGCATGGCAGGCTGCTGAACAACTCAGTTACATACAGGGTTCAAGTGTGCCATAAGCTAGAGACCATTCTCAAAGCTGCTTCTTATATACATGAAGCAGACCACATCCCTAAAGAAGCTACTCAGCTGCTTATGGTAGATCCCACCATAGAGTTGACTGCCAGTCTCATCATGGGGAATAACTACCACCAGCTGCCCAGCCACTCAACCAGGCCCTACCACATATATATTACATACATCAAAAAAAATTCTATATTCTCTTGTATCTTTGTTTCCACTTACCAGTATAATATTTGTTAATTCTTTTGAATTTTAAAACTTTGAAATGAGTATGGTCTTAGCACATGGGCAGAATGAGGGCTATAATCTTGGAACATTTTTCTGGACCTGAAATGTTATAAATTCATCACATTATAAACCTGCATGCAGTGATGTATCCTTGATGTCAACTTGCAAATCATTTGAAAATCCTACCTTTGTATGGTCTTATCAACAAGCCTAAAATTACTTCTATTGAAAAAAAGGAAAAAGTGCTTCTGGTGAAGGTTTAAAAGAAAATGGTGAACATGTGATTGGACATTGAAGGAAGGGTGATACTTTTTATGCAGTGGCAAAGAACTTGTCTGAAATTTATTCAAATGTTTGGTGGACAGTAGAACTTGTAAGTGATGAACTTGAATATCTGGTTGATAAGATCTTAAAGGGGCTGCATGGTTTCTCCTTGCCACTTATAATAAAACGTGAAAGGAAAGAGATGGATCTAAAAATGAACTGTGCAAAATGAAAACAATTTAAAGATTTAGAAAATTCTGTTCTAAGAACACATGTCCTAGAATGCTCACCAATGACATGGCTACACAATCTTTTATTAAAGAGATTAAACCTGTAACTGATGGATCTTACCAACTACCATCAGTTGGTAGCAGAAAACTCATCAGCTTAGACAGAAGTGGACAGAGAAAGAATAAAAGAAAGAATGCTATCTTCCTCTTAGAATTCTACAGGCAAGAAATAGAGAAAAGGACCTACATCTGTTATCCTCCAAGAAAAGAAAAGGACCATCCCTGGAACAGCTTGGAGATGAGCAGAACTGTCAGAAGGCACACAGAAAGAAAGGCCTTCTCTGTTTCAAATGTTGAGGCCGCAGTCTCCTGGATCTCAAAGGATGTGGCCATAGCCTACTAGGTTTCAAAGAGTCAGATTTTCACCAACTCAGTTCTGGAGTGTGAGGTTGCTGTTAAGGTGTGCCAGGGGATGAGGCTGCCACCCAAAACTGAGAGGGCAGGGCTGCCATGATCAAGGAGCAGGAGAATGAGGCCTTCTGGGGCCAGGGAAGTGAGATTGCCACTCAGATGCTGTAGGAGAATGGGGCCACCCAAAGCTGAGGGAGCAGAATTGACATCCAAGTGGGCCTGGAAGACAGAGCTGAAGCCCAGGGCTGAGGGACCTCCACTCGGAATCCAGAGGGTGTGGCTGCCACCCAGAGTCTGAAGGGTGAGGGTATTGCCCAGTTGGTCTCAGAGAAGAGAGGATTATTTTCAGCTTTGAGAGCTAACATGTGTTCTGCTGGGTTTTATTACTTCTTTCCCTCCAATTTCTACCATTTTTAATGAAAATCTCTACCTTGTGCCTGTTTCGCCATTGTACTTTGTACTATGTATTTCACAGGCTTACAGATTATGAGGAATTTTGCCCCAGGATAGAATACACATAAAGTCTCACCCATATTTTATTTAGGTGCTACAGAAATGAGAATTTGGACTTGATTTAAGACTTTTGAGATGATGTGATGGGGTCAATGTGTTTTGTGTGTAACAAGGACATGAATTTGGGGGGCTAAAGAATGGAATGTTATGGATTCAATTGTGTTCCACAAAAATATGTGTGGTTAATCCTAACCTCTATTCCTGTGATTATAATCCCATTTGGGAATTGTTTTTTGTTATGTTAATGAGGCAGGATTAGTGTAGGGTGTATCTGAGTCAATTTCTTTTGAGATATAAAAGAGATTAAACAAGAAAGCAGAGCAGAGATGGGGGGATATTGATGCCAAGCTACATGGAGATCTCCAAGGAACCAGGAAACAAGCTGAACAGACGAGGACCTTCCTCCACAGTTGACAGAGAGATAAAGCCTTTCCTTACAGCTTCATCCCTGGTGCCCTAAATTCAAACTTCCAGACTCTTAACTATGAGAAAATAAATTTGTGTTCGTTAAAGCCATCTACCGGTGGTATTTCTGTTATAGCAGTACTAGTACTAGATAACTAAGGCAGAGATCATACCATTGACAGGTTTTATTTGTTTGCTTGAACAAACTACTTAATATCTCTAAGTCTTAGTTAAAAACCACATGGCAACTCCACGTGTGTCTGAGTAGAACTATATGCTGTAGGATTTTCTATGGCTAATGTTTTGGAAGTAGATCACCAGAACTTTCTTCTAAGAGTATTTGTTGCTGTTATGTGCCATCGAGTTGGACCCGACTCATAGCGACCCCTCCTTGGGTTTCCGAGGCAGTATCACCACGGAAGTAGATTGCCCCATCTTCCTTCCAAGGAGTGGCTGGTGGGTTTGAACTGCCAGCCTTCTGGTTAGCAGTCAAGTGCCTTAGGCACTACACTACCAGAGCTCCCTGTAAGAGTATTTAGTCATCTTTAAATGGAAATTAAAATAGTAAATACCTCATGAGGTTATTGCAAGGATTAAATGACATGTATATTTCTTTTACATCTCATTGTAAATGTTCCATAAATGTCAAGGATTGTTAAAAGTATACTTTTTTATACTTACTTTGTTTTAAAACAAGATTTGGAGAAGCTACTAAAATGTGTGCCAAATTAATAGATAAAATAAGTAAATGAGAAAACTGGGGTCAGCAGGGACTTTGCATCATCCCAGAGAATTATAAGGGCTTTAGCTTTCTTGCATCAAATACCAACTTAGCCATTCATTTATTTATTCATTTGCTTGTTCAGCACTTGCCTTTAAGCAACTTTTAGCGTGGTGGCATATTCAAAGGAGTTTGTGCCTCAGACTGGAAGAAGATCCCAGAGGTATCCAACTACACCACAGTATGGTAGAAACTGTGAGCAAAAAATGGAGAGGAGTGGGTATCCCATGGCTAATCTAGGGTAGCCACTTTTATTAGTCCTTGTGTATGATGCCCTCATGGTACAATTGTCAGGTACTCCACTGCTAACTCAAAGGACTACAATTCAAACCCACCAGTGGCTCCACAGAATAGACCTGGCGATCTGTTCCCATAAAGCCTAGAAAACCCTACGGGGCAGTTCTACTCTGGCAAATACGGTCACTGTGAGTCAGAATCAACTCACCAGAACACAACAAAACAATGAACTGGGTTTACAGCTACCACACCACTTTGATGATGTGTCTGCTTTGTGTTGTTTTAGCAGCCCTCTTGGGGGCCAGATGTGATAAAGCAAGAAGATGGCCAAGATCACCACCCAATATTCCCACCCTTCCCAGGCCCACCTCGCAGTAAGAATCATGGACAGTGATCTCGATCACATTGAAAATGGCATCAGCCGGTAAGATGGTCCTTTCATTTTACACCTAGATCTGATTATTCCTTAGCTGATCTAGAGCTGGGAGAAAGAATGCCTTCATGTTGGCAAACCTCAGGTTTGGGTGGACAGAGGTATTTACAGTCCTTCTAATATCATTTTTTATTTCATTTAATCCTCACAGCCCCCAGTAAAGCAGACTTCCACCCCCCTCCCCATTTTAGAGATGTGGAAAATGAGACCCAAACTTCTATAAGATAAAAAGATATTTAGTTATCTAGCAGAACTTCTAGAAGATAAAACAAAATGAAGATTCAAATACAGCAAACTAAACTCTTCTGTCAAAACCTTCCTAAACTGCCACCCTTTCCCATGTGTACAACAAACATTGATTGCAGTCCTACTGGGTGCTGTACACTGTCTTGGACACAAGAGATACAGTATAAACCATATGCCCTACTCCTCCCCTCCAGAGTAAGGTCAGAATACAGGTTAAGCCTAAGACATCCTGTTCGTGGGCCTGTAGGGAGTGGATTGTGCTCAACAGCTAAGTAATCAGCCCATCAATGACATCCTGATACAGGTGGCTGTAAGGGAGTCTTGAGTTCTAGTGTGTTGAGTTCTACATCTAGCACTGTTTCTAATTTAGCAGACCTGGGAAAGCTCATTTAGCTAACTCTCCATCCCTCAGTTCCTTCAGCTTCAAAATAGAAAGGTATTCTTTTCCAAGCTCCTGGCAAAATGATGAGGACATGGACAAGACCTATTTGGAGAAAATGAACTTACGTTTTTATGTCTTTAAATTCCCAATGACGTGATTTAGTTAAACCATGAAGAACATTATTTCCAATCATTATGTTATTTTTGTCCTAAATATATAGCATTGAAAACTTCTCTCTCCTATGAGACTTAAATGCATGTGACTTCCTCACAGATGCACATTTGTTCTTCTGCTGTCAAAGTTCTTAATCTCAACTTCTCGGAAAACTCTGCTAATAGTAATTGTGTTAAGATTCTCCAGAGACACAGAACCACTGGGTCATATATATGTGGAGAGAGAGAGAGAGAGAGAGAGATTTACTTTGAGGAATTAGCTCACACAATTGTGGAGGCTGGTAAATCTAAAATCTGTAGGTCAGATGGCAGCCTAGAGACTTCTACAGGCTTGCGTCCCAAGATCCACAGGACAGTAACAGGAAGTGTGCAGAGTTGAGAGAAAGTGAGTGAATTCTACCAAAACACGTCTGAGGAAACACCACACTCTCAGGAAATTCCTCTTTCAACTTAATCTAATACAGGATTGATTACATTAGATTTACATTATGGAATTGATTACATTAGATTATGTAATATTATGGAACAGCAACTAGAGTAGTGTTTGACCAAGCCACTGAGAATCATAGCCTAGCCAAGTTAACAAATAAAGTAAGCATTACAGTGATGAACAACAGTTCCCAAACAGATTGAGTCTCCATTATTGCAAATTTAAGCAACACTTGGACTCTACCTTCTGAGATTCAAGCGGAGAAAGGAAAGGCCCAGAGTATCCTTATAGATGTTTAGTCCCTGCAATCATTTTAACTTGGTGCGACAGTCCCAGGTAGTTTGATATAATTTCAGAGGCATCAGAAAAAACACACCCTGCTCAAATATCTCCCCTCCTAATTGGTCTTGTATCTAACCACTGGATATTTATTCCTTTAGGTTAAGGCATTTCCCCTTATTTAAAAGAAAAATAATAATAATAACATTTATGATGATAGTTATCTGTCATTAAAACCTTCGTATGCATTAAAGTTTCTTTCCCATGTCTAAGTTAATAAAGCTACTTGAAGCGGGGCTTAGGAAAGAGGGAAGAAGGTAGGGGTAAATAGGTCCCATGCATGGGACACAGCAGTGAAGTCAGGCTCCCTGGGCAGCAAGCAGGTTCCTGAGATCTTGGAACCAAAGGGAGAAGGACAGAAACAGTCAGGATTAGAGAGCTTTTGAAGCAAAATGGAACTTTCCTCCATTGCTCCCTTTCACGTTGAGTGAGGCATGACCTATGCATTTCATTGAGCTTCCAGACTCCTGAAGGCAGAGAAGGCAGAGACAGGTCTAAGTCCGGCTCCTCCCAGTGAGGTACTCAAGAGGAGAAGTCTGGCCTGGTTGCTAGAACGCCTGCCCAGAATGCCTGCTTGACCAGACACCATCATGGTGCAGATGACTTGTCCTGGTTCTGCCTGGCCAGTGGCCTACAAGCACAGCCTGACTTGTGGGTTCTTAAATGGGCTCACATGGAAACTTAAGACTTTAAATTTCCGTAGAAATTTAAGAAGGAGAGAGAAAAAGAGTGTTCCCTTCATAAGAGAGATGCTGTGCTTTATCTTATGGAGGAAGGAGTGGGTTAAGAGAGAGAGAGGTGCCCAGAATTTGTTACTTGGAATGTGCATGGACTGTGTGATACCAGGAGGAAGGAGCTACCATATTCTGTCCCCTCAGTATGTTTCCTGAATATGCTCCTGTGTCTTTTACCAAATTCAAAGCCCAGTTTTCTGTTTGTCTTTTTAAAATTATGAGGATCATTTTCTTAGTAAACAGTCACAGGGAAGAATGAAAACCATTCACTTTAAAAAAATAAAATAAGGTTACAACCTGAAAATACCAAAAATAACCTGAGTTGTTCTTTTCTGCTTAGATCTGTTTCCTCAACTTGATTATTTAAGAGCTGCCTGGTATATTTTTTATGATAATGCAGGAGAGGAAGTCTTAATAATTTGCAACAGAGAATTGCAGCTAGGACTGAGGGCACACCAAATCCCAGATTAATCTCCTGCTTTAGCTATTTTGAGTGAGCTTTTGGGCATAGGTTTGTGTCCTAGAGAGGCCTTCTTCAAGCTGCTCCCTGAGCAGAGCCCAAAACAATTATCACCAAAGAAAACCATTTTCAGCCTGCATCCCCAAGACTGAAGACTTAAAATGCATTGACTTCAGTGCCCTGGTCACATGTGGCCAGTGGCAATGGATGACAATCATTCAAGCTCCTCAGGGCTTGGAAAGATGTAAAGAAAAATAAGACATTGTATTTCTGTCTTGTCCTAAAATGGCACTTCTGTTTACTCTCTTGCCCCATGTTCACTGGAGAAGACAACAGAAGCACCACGGAGTACAAAATTAATTTCCAGTTCCAGTTCTCACAAGAACCTCTGCCGTCTCCCAATGACACAGGAAGCCACAGCTCCTCTGAGAAGTTTATAGAAATCGAAAATTACCTTGACTTACAGCACAGTCACTTCAACAAGAGCTAGTGTATCTTGTTCTTGTGTTGCTTATGGTCAATTACATGTGACTTCTTTCTTTGAAGGCATCAACTCCACCTAGAATACAAAAAAAAAAAAAAAAAAACTCACTGCCATGGAGTCAGATCTGACTCATAACAACCCCTCCTTGGGTTTCTGAGGTGGTATCACTACGGAAGTAGATTGCCCAATCTTCCTTCCGAGGAGTGGCTGCTGGGTTTGAATCTCCAGCCTTCTTTCTGGTTAACAGTCAAATGTCTTAGGCACTAACCAGCTTGAAAATGGGAAGGAAGCTTCAGGGTTGTCCTGGCCAGAAATGCTCATTTCATAGATATTGAGACCAGCCACCACAACCTGTCTGTCAGTTTGTCATACTGAGAGGCTTGCATTTTGCTGTGATCCTGCAAGCTATCCCACCAGTATTTCAAATATCAACAGAGTGACCCATGGTGGACAGGTTACAGTGGAACTCCCAGACAAAGACCTGGAGATCTGCTTCCAGAAATCAGCCAGTGAAAACCCTATGGATCAACAAAGAATATTATCTGATACTGTGCTGGAAGGGTAGCCTGCTAGACTGAAAGTCACTCATGAAGATGGTGTCGGACTGGGCAGTGTTTAGCTCTGTTACACATAAGTCAGAGCACCTCGATGACAACTATCAGCAATAAAGCCTAGTCAAGTCCTTGCTCCAGGCTCCTCAGCCAGCTAGAAGCAGGACAGGGCCTAGCCCCTACTTTTTGCTGCCTCTATCTTCCCTGGGAGGTTCCAGTTCTCCATTCATGCATTGATTCTGAAGACTTTCTCCCTTTTTCTAGTACCTCCTTCTCCTTGGAAGCTCTTGATGTCATCTCGTTCATTCATCTCCTCCCTATCTTCCTTCTCATCTGCTTGGGCAGTTGAGTTTACTATTTAAAATACGCCCAGGTGTGTACATCACCATTCATTGCAGCACTATTCACAACAGCCCAAAGGTGACAACAACCCAACTTCCTTTCCATGAGCAGATGAGTGGAGAAACCAAATGATGTATATACATGCAATGGGGTATTATTCAGCTGTAAAGAGAAATAAAGTTCTGACACATTCCACCACAGGATGAACCTTGAAAGCATTATGTTAAGTCAGACATGAAAGGACACATACTGCATGATCCTACTTATATGAAGTATCTGGAACAGGCAGATCCAAGGGCTGTGGGGAGTGGGGAAAGTGAGTTTGAAAAACAAAAACCCTCCAAGCATTTAACAAGGATAAGGCCTCTGGAGTTAAACATTGTAATTGTAGAATTTTAGGCATTAAGAAAAACGATCCTCTTGGGTCCTTTGGAATTGTCATGTATGGCTCTTTCTGTTCTTCACAACCAAATATGCCTTTCTAGGCTTGGATATTTGGACAACATTTAAATAAACATGAAATCACTTTTTCTCCCTCTTTATTTTCCTTGTGAGGATCAGGAAATTGAAGTTCAGAGAGGTTATGTGACCAGCTCAAAGTTCAGCTAGCTATAGGTGCTGGAGGCAGGATTCGAACCCAGGTTGTTGCCTCACTCTGCTGCCTCCCTTGTGAGTAGTGTCAGAGATACATGGCAGGTCTCATTGCTGTCACTAGCCAGCCTGCTTTTATAATCTGGATGGGTTTTGTCTTCCTGGCCCACTAGCTCTGATGTCATAGGAATTGACTTCTTTGCTGCTAATGCAAATAGAACTGGTCTCCGGTTGTGCCCTCACAAAATGAACAGAAAACAGCCTGGCCAGAAATACTGTGCCGACTGCTTGGTGCCTAAAGCTCCCTGAGGAGATGCTGATATGGACGGAAGACCTCCTGGTCTGAGATTACCTCAGGGAATTTACTGGCACACATGCTGCTAAGACCCAGGCACCCAGGCACAGGTAGACTCATTTGTTCCCCTGTCACCTCCTCCTGTAACTGACCAAATGCCTTGGAATGGGTGTCCCACCTTTGCAGTACATAGAATATTATGGCTGCAGGGCAACTATAGTTTCTAAACTGCAGCAGAGCCTCTGACAGGGTCTCATGTGCACACGGATAAGATGTGAGTGCTCTCTAATGGTGTATATTTGGTTTGGTGGTTTGGAAAAAAGCGCCATGCCCACAGAGTGCAGCTGGAGGGATCAAAGCCATTCTGAAGAGATGTCTCTAGTAGCATGCTGCAGGGCTCTGTCCTCAACTATGTCTTATTCAAATTTTGCTTGAATCAGTGACATTTATGAGAATACAGAGGACAGCTTCATGGAGTGGTTGAGAGCAAAGGCTTCAAAATAGGATAAAGTGATGGTCAAATCTCAGATTTGCCACTTGGCTGTGTAATGTTGGGAAAATAACTTAGTATCTCTGGACCTCTATTTCCTCCCGTATTGGGTTGTTGTGTGGATATATTAATAAAATGTATGTGACTTACCCACAGTTACCAAAAAAAACCAAACGCACTGCCATCAAATCAAATCTGACTCATAGCGACCCCTCCTTGGGTTTCTGAGGCAGTATCACTGCGGAAGTAGATTGCCCCATCTTCCTTCCGAGGAGTGGCTGGCGGGTTTGAACCGCCAGCCTTCTGGTTAGCAGTCAAGTGCCTTAGGCACTATGCCCACAGTTAGCAGTGAATAAATGGTATGTGGTTTGTGTATTGCATTAGTGAATGAAAGGAGTTGGGAGAAAAGGCTACTGTGATTGATGCCTTCATATATCAAGAGTCCCAAAACATCAGGTGCCTGGAACAAATGGGAAGGCCCCATACTAAATCATAAAGAATTAATTGCACATGCGCAAGATAGGGACTTCTGGTTTGTGCTTTATGACTTTGGGTTTTGACTGATGCCAGCTGGTGATGGGCCACCATAAACACACAAACCAACAAAGACCTTTAAGGACAGATCTCAGTTGTCTCTCTGCTCAGTCTAGCCAGGAACACGGGAGCCTGTTCACAGAATGACCATGACAGAAAAGAGACTTGAACCTGATAAGGAATGGCTGGGTGAGCTGGGGTGGGTGCTGTTAAGTCGCTGAAAGCTGTCATATAGAAGATGGTGTTGCCTGACTCCATGTAGTTCCAGCAGAAAAAGTAGCCCTGATGTGGAGAAGCTGAGAGAAGAGTCCACTGGCGGAGCTGGACAGGCCATGGGGCTGGGAGGTGGGTGGCTAGTGAGCTCCCTGCTGCTGGAGAGGCGAGGGTCAGGCAGCAGGCTTTGGCAAACAAGTCATAAAAAGGAGGAAGCAGCGGCTCAACGGTGGAGCAGCTTATTTTTGAGATTTCTCCCAGCCCTGGGATCTAGGACTCTGACTTCTAATCATTCACCATGGAGAGATGGAGCCTTTTTCTTGACATTAATTCTTGCCTCCTGTTTAAACTGTGTTACCACCTTGTTAAGAAGGCTGATTAGGTTGGAATCGGACATGTGATAGACTTAATTTGTCTTGCCTTGGCGTCTTAAGACTCAGAGAATGAAATGCAAATCCCTAAAGGTCAATGCCTGGATGGCTTTGAATCGGGCTTATAAAACTTGAGCCCAGGGAGGATTTAAAAGAAAGAAAAATATTCCCAAACACATTGGTCATATTCCAGGCAATTCAACAAAGACCAGACTCTGCTGATGTGACTGGTGCTCATATTCTATACCATAGAGAATAATAAAGTACAGTACACAACTGTAGAATATAGTTCTATCCACACTCATGCTTTTTATCTCAGGTGAGCTTACCGCTCAAGTTACCTCTGCATTGCATGGGACAAAGACAAGGATTTGGCAAAAGGGCACATTGGAAGTAGATTTTCATTTGAAAATACTCTGCAAATGATTTGAACTCTGTATGGCACATGAGGCCAAATTCAATACAATATTCTGGGCCTTCCTGTTAACTAATTGGTTCCCAGAAAGACTTGCGGACAAGCACACCAATAACTGAGCAGGTCATGTGAGTGCAGCAGGCAATGTTAGAGGAGGCTTGGGAAGGCCTTTTGAAGGAGATGGCCTCAATCAACCAGTTGCTGTTGAATCAATGCCAACTCGTGTGTGTGTCAGAGTACAGCAGTCCCATAGAGCTTTCAGTGGCAGATTTTTCAGAGGTAGATTGTCAGGCCTTTCTTCTGAGGCACCACTGGGTAGACTCAAACTGCCAAACCTTCAGTTAGCAGCCAAATGTGTTAACAATTTGCACCCAGGGACTCCAAGCTGACCTTAAAAGACAGGGTTTCAGTAAGCTGGAATGTGATTGAATGAGAGTCTTCTTTCTGGAATCATTCTGTGGAAACAACTGCTATGGTTAGAGTTGAGAGCAACTCCCTACCCCATCCTCTAATGAGGAACATGCAATATTTCCTGCTGGATTGCTCCTTTTCACCTACCCATGGACTTTTTGCCTGCCATGCTAGATGTTATCTACAGTTAGTCTTACTGAAAAGGAAAGGCCACATCTATCCAAAAAGCTGGGATTTGCTTGAGCCTGAACTGAAGTGAGGAACCCCTACATTGAAGATCAGAGACAGCAGCTTTCCTTATTAAGCAGAGCATCTGGCCATCTCAGTCTCAACTGTGTCCAAGAGGTGGATGAGCTTGAAATCAATTTAGCTTGCTGCATATGTTATTTCCTAGGACCCTCTCTCCTTGTGAGGAGACATCATCAGAACTGCAGCAAGGGATCGCCATGGAGACCAGAGGACTGGCTGAATCCCGACGAAGTTCCTTCACCAGCCAGCGGCCCGCCAGGTAACTGACCAGTCTCAGCCTTCACCTTGGAGAAGGGATAGTATGGCAGAAAGAAGGCAGGTATCTCAGGAAGAAAGGGTGGGAGGGGATGGAGTTAAAGAAAACGGCAGGAGAAGAGCAGTCAGAAATCCAACCGTGGGCAATTTCCTCTTAGGTCTGGTATGCTGACCTCAGGAGAGTCGAAGAAAAACTGCCTTTATCTTAAATTGCTTTTTTATAAAAAGTGATACTGAAGGACTTGCTCAATACTGGAAGAATTCAGAAAAAAATGTTAACTGGGGAATGTGGTCTTGACCAGCCAGCCTTGGAAGGTCATTGGGTAGATACTGGGATGGGGTGAATGTCTGAGACAGCCTCTGGCCCTCACAGGTACTTTTTTAGACTTCCTAACACAATTTCTCCCTTGCAAAAGCATCTGAAAGATGAAACAGGCTCAGGAGCTTTGTCTCCTTCTGATGACATCTGTATCCAGGCTTCAATAGCTGCACCAACTTGGAAGTCATTTCACCTTTACAAATTTCATCAAGAAAATGCATTGACCCATGTCACTTCAGTTTTGTGTATTTCACTGTACATAAGTTATATGTCAATAAAATTTATTTTTAAAAAATCTCATCTAGAAAGTGCATGGAACAATAACTACCCTTCAGGCTGCTGTGAGGGCTGCATCAGGGCCGAGTACTGACGAGTGACAGGTGCTCAGTAATGTTGGCTCATGATTACCTTCCACCAAAGTCTTTTGCATATACATAATTTTACATCGCTGTGTGCTCTACACTTTTTACTTAAGATTATTGCCAAAAAAAAAATGTTACATATGTATTTATCCTTCATTTTTTTCCCATTGTCAAAAAACCAAACTCACTGCCATGGAGTCGGAGTCGACTCAGTCAGACCTGACTCATAGCAACCCCTCCTTGGGTTTCCGAGGCAGTATCTCTATAGAAGTAGATCACCCAGTCTTCCTTCTGAGGAGCAGCTAGTGGGTTTGAACTGCCAGCCTTCTGGTTAGCAGTCAGATGGAGAATGCTAAACCTACCATCATTTGTTTAACTGTTCCTAAGGCTCTTATGGGAGCTCTGGCAACATAGTGCCTAAGGCACTTGACTGCTAACCAGAAGACTGGCGGTTCAAACCCACCAGCCACTCCTTGGAAGGAAGGTTGTGCAATCTACATTCATAGTGATACTGCCTCGGAAACCCAAGGAGGAGGGGTCGCTATGAGTCAGGGCCGACTTGATGGCACATAACAACAACAACAAAGGCTCTTAGGTCTCAAAGGTGTTATTGTTGTTGGGCGCTGTTGAGTTGGCTCCTACTCATAGTGACCCCATGTACAAAGAACAAAATACTGTCTGGTCCTGTGCCATCCTCACAATCTTTGCTATACCTGAGTCCATCATTGCAGTCATTGTGTCAATCTACCTTGTTGAGGGTCTTCCCTTTTTCGCTGATCCTGTACTTTACAAAGCATGATATCCTTCTCCAGGGAGCAGTTCCTTCTGACAACATGACCAAAGTAGGTGAGAAAAAGTCTGGCCATTCTCACTTCTAAGTAGCATTCTGGCTGCACTTCTTCCAGGACAGATTTGTTCATTCTTCCAGCAGTCCGTGGTATTTTCAGTATTCTTTGCCAACACCACATTCAAAGACATCAATTCTTCTGTGGTCTGGGGAGAGACCAATGGGTCAATCTGTGATGGTATGTGAGAACACCTCAAATTCAGAGTCTTGGGCTATGGGAGAGGCATGGTGTAAGCTAAAGACACAGGCTGTTTCATAGTCATGAAGCCAGTCAGTGACCTTCTCCTTCTCGTTTTCTGGTAGAATTTCGTGGTCTTTGTGCTTTTTTCTGTATGTCTCCTCCATTTTCTTCTCTCAGTAGGCTACTTTTCTTTGCTCACATATCCTCAGAACCAGATTGAAAATGGCCTTCATCATATAATTTTTTATTTGAGACACCCACCCCCATCTTAAAGTGGCTTTTAGTTTAGCATCTTGAGTGAGAAATTGATTGGCTGCTGGCCAGTCAATGGATTGTCTCTCTGTGGGCCAGCTGTCCATCTGGTCCCTGTTGGCTAAGGCTGGAGTGGGGGAGTATGAACTTGACTCCACTCCTTCAGCAAATGGAGAGTGTGGGGTGGGGGGAGTTGTCCAGAGAAGAGCGGTTGGGCTGGGCTATTGTTGATTGATGTCATGAGTAGTATCTGTATCCAATTCATGGCAATCCCATGTGTTACAGAGTGTAACTGCTCCATAGGGTTTCCTTGGCAAATTTCCAGGCCAATCTTATGTGGTATCTCTGAGTAGGTTCAACCCACCAACTTTTAGGTTAACAGTCAAGCACAAATCATTTGTGTCACCTGGAACCTTTGGTAGTCTACAGCAGCAGCTATAAGCATTGCCGTACATGGGATGTTTTCTTGCTTTAGTTTATTCCCTTAGGCTAAGGTTGCAAAAGTGTGAATAGAGTCAAGGTATGTGATAATTTGTGACTTAGCTCCAGGCTGCTCAGAAATGATTCTAACTAGGTACACCTGTCAGTGGGGTCCACTGTAGATGGAAATAGGAAAATAGAGTTGAGTCTCTGTTTCCTTTCCATTCTGGCAGAAAGAAGACCTGGTGAAGGAAGAACTCTTATGGGAGAGCTCGAGCTAAGACAAGCTGTGAGGACTTGGACCACCTCGTCTGAGGTGTTTGAATCCATGCCAAGCCCCCAGCAGAGTCTGGCTCTAGGCAAGGGGTTCAGAGCAAGTTGCAAAAGAAACTTCTACACAAGCCTAGGGAGAAAACTAGACTTTGTGTTGTTGTTATGTGCCATCGATTCAGACCCGACTCATAACGACCCCTCCTTGGGTTTCCGAGGCAGTATCACTATGGAAGTAGACTGCCCCATCTTCCTTCCGAGGAGTGGCTGATGGGTTTGAACCACCAGCCTTCTGGTTAGCAGTCAAGTGCCTTAGACACTACGCTACCAGAGCTCCTAGACTTCGTATGAGATAAAATTAATAAAGATTGGGAAAAGCATCTAAGTTGTATCTGGGTGCTTGTTTCTTTAGATTTTGCTCTAAATTTTATCATCATCTGAAAAGAGTGTTTTTTTTTGTTTGTTTGTTTTTTACTGTTAATATGCTTACCAGTCATTGGGCAAAAGGAATGATGACTAGAAAAGTATTAATCACCCATTTGAAGGATCATTCCTTTGGTAGAATCTAGGCATTAAAAGGATAAAGCCAGAATAAATACATTATCCTTTAGTATACTGAAGGTAATAGACAGAGAAAAGAAAAAGCCACCCTTCACTCCCCCTTTCCCTCTTCCTTTAAAAATAGTTAAGGCAGTGAGCTGCTAACTGAAAGGTTGGAGGTTCAAGTCCACTCAGACGTGCTTCAAAAGAAGGGTCTGGTGACCTACTTTGAAAAATCAGTCACTGAAAACCCTAAGAGCACAGTTCTACTCTGATGCCCATGAGGCTGCAAGGAGTGTGAATCAAGTGGAAAGCAGCTGGTTCCCCTGCAGAATAGAGCTTGCAAACTTGAGCCCATGGGGACTGCAGTACCCATGTCCTGCTGGTCATCTCTGCTTCTACCCCAGCCCCTTGAGAAGAGGGCCTTCCTTCCCCTTCCTCTTCACACTCCCTATTTGTCTGTTGCCTTTTCAGGTTGTCACGACTCATCATCTCTCTGCAAGCATGGGCGGCCAGGCACTTACACCGTGAGGATCAGAGATCGGACTCTTTTCTGGATCGTTTCCGTGGAACTGAGCTCAAGGAGGTATCCAGCCGAGAAAGCAATGCCCAGTCCAATGTGGGCAGCCAGGAGCCACCTGGCAGAGAAAGAAGGTAAGAAACCAAAAAGGAGAAGGAGTCACCCACACGAGATGGGGCAGGAAGCATTTTGCTTTGCTGGCCCAGCTCCAGTTCCCCAGGTAGATGAGGGAGCAGTGGAGGGACTAGAGCATCATCCTTGTGAGCTATTCCTTAAAGAAGATATCAGTCCATTGGGGACCACTGCATGCTGTAATACACACACAGCCCTCCTTCCCTGGACTCCAGGTAGCCCTGCAGGTGAGGAAACCCTCTAAGCAGAGTCTCCATCCTCATTGACCCCTTCCTACATGGCTGCTAGCACCCCCTGGAATTACTGTTCTGATAAACATGTCTGGGGTTCCTGGCCTGCCAACCAACCATCAAAGGACCCCCATCCTGTTGTTGTAGGAAAACAAGGTCCTTACCCCTGTACCAAAGAGCCAATGATCACAACAGGTTAAAGAGAGAAAGCAAAATGTTTATTTAGTATCGATACCCAAGGAGACCATGAGAGTCACTTCTCTAAATGTTTGTCTCCCTGAGCTGGGGAACGGTTAGAGTTTTTAAAGGGATTTGAGCTGAGGAGGTAGGGGGGATTTGGGGAATGCTGACAGTTTTCTTCCCATCATGGGATGAGTCATAGTTGTCTTGTGTCCTCTCAGTTCTTCTTCAGGTCAGTGATAGGAAAACATCCTTGGTCAGGAGAAGTGTTTTTCAGGTTCCTCACGCCTGCCTAGAGAGATTAACTCTACAAGGGGGAAGAGGATGGGAGTGGGCACCCTCAGGCCTCTCAGTGGCCATGGATATCTCCATTTCTCCTTTATCTTGGTTACTCCAAAGCTCGGTGTCTTCTTTCTCAGGATCATCGTGTTGTAGGCTGCAGTTCTCAGCTGAAACTAGCTAGAAGAGGGGGTTATTCAAAGAGAATTCAAAGAATACGTAATTGAGAATAGCAAATCTAAAGAACTCAGTGTCCATAAAAAAGTTTTGGCTATTCTGTTTACTTGAAAGAAAGTGATGAGGGGAGGTGGGGGAAGCACCGAATTAGTCACTATGATTAAAGTCTCCTCAGTCATGCCTGCTGGCCTGTGAAAGTTTTACAGTTTTCAGTGAGGGGTCCCTACAGCCTTCCACTTCAGCCTTCTTCATTGTGACTCACCTTGTTAAAAAAAAAAACAGGGGCTTGTATACCACAAGCTTTAGGGGGTTCCTAAGTGGTACCTACATTTTTATGCATAATTGTACATACATTTTTCTGGGAAGAGATCTGCAGGCTGGTCAGATATTTTAAGGGTAAATCAGTTAAAGCAGTTATCTGGGGGAGCAGTAGGTAGGGGAGTGGAGGGTATGGGGAGATTGTTTGCTTTTTGGTAGGAGGGTGTGCAGAGCAAGGACTGCTGAGCGTCTTCCTGCATGGCCCACTGCCCAGATTGGAAGACTATGGCAGGTGCTGTTAGCACAGACATCTGAAGAAACCTGGCACTTTTTGGACTAACAACCCCTACACACACACGCACAGTTGCTGCCTCCCCTCCTCGCTTGTCCTTGAGTGGTCCAAGGACAGCCTATTGGGCCAACACAGATTGAATCAATTGTCCCTGGGCAGGATCTCTTTAGGACACGTGTGGCAATCCCAAGAGGAAGAGAGGTAAGACAACAAAGGGAACCTTACTACAAACAAGTTGACTTTTGCTGGGAACCTGCTTTCTTAAAAAAGAGGTTGAAAATATCCTATTTGACTGGTCCTCCAGGTAGTGCCACAGTAATGTGTCAGACAGTGTTTCTCTGATATTCATAAGGTTTTCTCTGGCATGCCATGATTTAAATGATTCAAAGGTAAAAATAAGTGTGATTTCTGCAGTGTTGAAGGTCCATGTGTAATTTGTTAGAGAAAATGCCTTCTGTTTTTTGCATCAGATTAGAAGAAGGGTTCGGGTTTAGGCTTCTCTAATGGGGTATACAAGTACCTCCTGAGGTATGGAAGGCCATGGAGCCACAGGAGGAACATGGCAGATCACCTTGGAGCTTCAATTTTACTTCTATAATTGTGTGTGTGAGGAGCTCTGGTAGCATAGTGGCTAAAGCACTTGACTGCTAACCAGAAGGCTGGCAGTTCAAACCCACCAGCCACTCCTCGAAAGGAAGAGGGGGCAATCTACGTCCGTAGTGATACTGCCTCAGAAACCCAAGGAGGGGTCGCTATGAGTCGGGGCCGACTCGACGGCACATAACAACAACAACAACAATTGTGTGTGTATTGGATGGGGTGAGTGGGAGGAGTGTTGTATATTATATGCTATGCAGTAGATTATAAAATGTACAAGCATGTTTTAAGATAAAATATGAGGGTTCAGAGAAATTTCTTGGTAGTGACCTACATGAATCAGGAGGCCCATTTTCAGTGTTCTTTGCTGGAGAAAGGTGTGAGAATGCTAACTGAGGTGGTAAGGCCCCTGAAGAAGTACTGTCAGGCGTGTGTTTTCACATGAGCTAGGACTGAAGACCCTCCTCGTGCCCTGGGCTGTGGAAAAGAGGCCTAAGAGGAGTTGCAGGGGCAGCTCTGTGATGCCAGGCTGGGGCTGAGCATGATGACTGCAGGACCATCTCAGAGTCCCAAGGCCATTGTCCCATACTGCAGGGTGATGGTGCAGGATGGTAGCCGATCAATTAGGGAGGCTTTCTTGGGGAGAGGGGAGATTTTGAATTTTTTGAGGCAAAGTCTCATCTGCAAAGTGTCTGTAGACACATGGATTCCTGGTAAAATGCTGAGCTTTCCTGGGAAGGTTTGGCCTTGTGGGATCCCAAGAGCAGAGATGTGGTAAATCCTGGCCACTGTCCACAGAGCTGAATGGTCACTCCTTAACATATCACAGGGGTTTTGACTGCTCAGGGGATTTTCAGATGATCAGAACCAATTCCCATTACAGCCACATCTTGGATGGGGAGACAGAGACTTAGGCAAGGCAAGCAGAAGTATTTAAAATAATGCCTGGGGAGATGTTCCACATTGTAGAGAGGCACCTTCGAAGTCAGCCTGGTGTCCCCAGTCAGTGGCTTCAGTCACTGTGGTCTTCTACAGACAGTGGCCACAGACAACCAAGCCCCTTCCAGCTCTATGAATTCAGATTCCCCAATGCTGTGTTTTGTCTGCTTTCCTGCAGTGGCTGGCCTTTGGCCAGAAACAATGTCAACACCTGCAACAACTCAGAGAAGGAGTAAGTACCAGTGCTCATGAGCAGAGCCAGCTCTATTTCCCCAGCCCCAGTGGCTATCTTCCTCCTGTAGAAGCCCTAGATTTGTCTCCCTCCTTAAGTACTCTTGCTTCCCACCCCCTAAAACACTAGTAAGCCATTCCAGAATCCTGCTTCTCTCATTAGAAATCCAGCCCTGTGGACAAATGGGAAACAGGGACTGTTCTGTGTGACTTTGGGAAAGTCATTTCATCTCTTTGACTCTCATTTTTCTAATCTGCAGAAGCAAAGGGGATTGGACTGAAGAAAGGTTTCACACTTCAACATGTATCTCTGTATATCTGAGGGTGCAAACTTGGCTTTCCTCTATAGAGCAGTGGATAATATTCTTAGTGATGAAAATGCATTTTCCATTCTGCAACTTCAAGCTCCATGTGTCAGTGAATTGCCCTTTTCTTGAGGCCAATTCAGGCCAATTTTGAGGGTGTAATCAGGGCAGCGGAAAGAGGAAATTTAAATATTTCTAGAGCGTAACCTCTGGAAATGGTGACCTGCTGTAATTACTTTCTATTGCCAGATGCTAAGATGGCAAGATGTGAGAATCTGGCCAGCACCACTCATGGGACCAGGGAATGTGTGTGTGTGTGTACAGGGGTGTGCATTAACGCTGGCATATATGTTCACCATTCACTAGTCTCAACACTTCTTTATGGAATATCTTGAGGTGGGGACAGGATGGGAAAGGATTGGAGGTGGGGGAAAAAAAAATCATCAATGATGGCAAGAAATGCCAATTTCTTCAAATTAAAAGAGAAATATACCAAAACTTTTTTTTCCCCTCTCTGTTCCTCAGATAGAAATGGTTTCTGTTTTCTCCCATGAAGCTTAGTTGCATTTTTTTGCATAAATTGGGATATCAAATCCAGAGACCCAAATTCTAGCATTCAAGAAAATGAAAACATTTCATCTGCAAAACTGTAGCTGTTATATGTGCTTGTTTAAAGCCAGTCTGGATACTAAACACCCTTGAAACCCCGGTATATGAAGTCTCTCAGTCAGGGAAAAGGTCAGGGCTCCAGAAACCATGGCCAGATCCTGTGGGGTCATAGACTTATTTGTTCTGGGATTAGGGGAGATGTGTGTGTGGGTGTTGGGTGGGGTGGTTATATTTTAGTAATCTAGTGCTGCTATAACAAAAATACCACAAGTGGGTAGCTTTAACAAATGAGAGTTTATTTTCTCACAGTTTAGGAGGCCAGAAGTCCAAATTCAAGGTGCTGGCTCCAGAGGAAGGCTTTCTTTCTCTGTGGGCTCTGGAGGAAGGTCCTTGTCTCTTTGAGTTTCTGCTCCTGGGTGACCTTCATGTGGCTTGGCTTCTCTCTTCCCCCATCTCTGCTTGCTAGTTTGCATTTAATCTCTTTTATACCTCAAAAGAGATTGACTCAAGGTATACCCTACAGTAATCCTGTCTCATTAACATAAAAAAGACAACCCATTCCCAAAGGGGATTATAACCACAGGCATGTTGTTGTTGTTGTTATGTGCCCTCGAGTCACCTGACTCATAGTGACCCCTCCTTGGGTTTCCGAGGCAGTATCACTACGGAAATAGATTGCCCCATCTTCCTTCCGTGGAGTGGCTGGTGGATTTGAACCACCAGCCTTCTGGTTCACAGTCAAGTGCCTTAGGCACTACGCTACCAGAGCTCCCAACCACAGGCATAGAGGTTAGGATTTACAACACAAAATTCAATCCATAACAGAGAGATGAACAGGGTTGGCTGCAACAGGCTCTTTATTCATTATTTACAGGCTCCTATTATGGGTCCAAAGAGCTCTGGTAGCATAATGCCTAAGGCACTTGACTGCTAACCAGAAGGCTGGCAGTTCAAACCCATTGGCCACTCCTCAGAAGGAAGATGGGGCAATCTACTTCCGTAGTGATACTGCCTCGGAAACCCAAGGAGGGGTCACTATGAGTCAGGTCTGACTCGACAGCACATAACAACAACAAACAACATTATGGGTCCAAAGGAACTCTGGTTGCACAGTGCCTAGGGCATTTGTCTGCTAACCAGAAGGTTGGCGGTTCAAACCCACCAGCTGCTCCATAGGAGGAAGATGAGCAATCTACTTCCGTAGAGATTTACCACTTCAGAAACCCAGTGGAGGTCTCCATGAGTCAGAACTGACTCAATAGCAGTGAGTTTGGTTTTATTCTGGCTCCAAGGAGTTTTGGTGGTGCAGTGGTTAAGCCATTTGTCTGCTAACCAGAAGGCTGGTGGTTCAAACCCATTAGCCACTCCACAGGAGAAAAATGAGGTAGTCTGCTTCCGTAAAGATTTACAGCCTTGGAAACTATATGTGGCAGTTCTACTCTGTTCTATAGAGTCAATATGAGTCAGAATCAACTCAGTGGCAATGAGTTGGGTTTGGTTTATTATGAGTCCACACTTGTAATTGGTGACTATTCCAAAAAGGGACTCTTTGGGCACAGAAGGTACAGGCAATAATTCTTTATGGATATCTCTCCCCATTCTTCCACCACATTTCTTGCCTTTTCACTTGATCTCATGGATGTTGAATAATTTCTCCCTCCCTGATCAAACTGTTCCCAACCAAAACCAGTATTGTTGAGGCATTCAGGGATGCAGTGGATGGTGCTAGATCTCTCCTAAACCCTCAGCACCTGGAAGGGAGAGGAAAGGCCAAAGCATCTTAGCTGGGACCACAAATCCTAGACAAGGCATACTGAGCTGAAGTGATTACATTCCATACAGGGCTAAGCCAGCCCAGTGAGCTTGTGAGCAGTACCCTCTGCTGGTGCCTTGGTGTTAAAACTTCAGTAGTAGAAAGGGTTCACATCATAAGGTAGAGTCGGGAGAACAGAGGCTAGGTGACTGTCCGTACTCTTCTCAGTTAATCATTTCAGTAATTTTTAATTCTTATTTACTCTTTTATATGCTCCTTGCCTAAAACTTGTGGGGGGGGCGGGGGGGAATCACACACAAGCATGCACACACAAAAGTACATTTCATGTTAACAGTGGAATTCCACTATCAATATTTTTCTAAGCGCATATATTGAATATATGCATGTAATGCACTGGTTGAGAGCATTTGTATCCCAACTCAGAATTTAAGAGCTTCTTGGCTTTGGGCAAGGTGCCAAACTTCTCTGTGCATCGGTTTCCTGGCTTGTAAAATATAAAGATTATAATAGTGTCTTACTTATAGGGTTGGGAGGTCTGATGGCGTAGTGCCTAAGGCATTTGACTGCTAACCAGAAGGCTGGAGGTTCAAACCCACCAGCCACTCCTCATAAGGAAGGTTGGGCAATCTACTTCCATAGTGATACCGCCTTGGAAACCCAAGGAGGAGTCACTATGAGTCATATCAACTCGATGGCAGTGAGTTTGGTATTATTTTTGGACTCATAGGGTTACATGATGACTAAGTGGACTAATACAGGTAAACTGCTTAGAACATACCCAGTACATCCAAAAAAAAAAAAAAAAAAAACTCACTGCCATAAATTAAAAACCAAAAACCAAATTCACTGTCATGGAGTCAGATCCGACTCATAGTGATCCCTCTTTGAGTTTCCTAGGCAATATCTCTATGGAAGTAGATTGTTCAACCTTACTTCTGAGGAGTGGCTGGTGGGTTTGAACTGCCAGCCTTCTGGTTAGCATCAAGTGCCTTGGGCACTACGCCACCGGAGCTCCTTCTGCTGTACATAAACCAAAAAAAAAAAAAAAAACACACTGCAGTGGAGTTGGATCCAACTCATAGTGACCCCGGGTTTCCGAGGCAGTATCACTGCGAAAGTGCCGAAGACATGTGACTGCTAACCAGAAGGCTGGTGGTTCAAACCCACCAGCCACTTGGAAGAAAGGTTGGGCAATCTACTTCCTTAGTGATACAGCCTCGAAAACCCAAGGAGGAGTCGCTATGAATCAGATCCAACTGGATGGCAGTGAGTTTGGTTTGGAGTTCGGTTTTTCTTCCGAGGAGTGGCTGGTGTGTGAACCGCCAGCCTTCTGGTTAGCAGTCAAATGCCTTAGGCACTATGCCACCAGAGCTCCATACATAGTAAGTGCTAAATAAATATTGGCTAAGTAGAGGGTCAGGGAAAAAGGGAAACCTCAAAGAAAGGGACTGACATCATAGCTACAACAATGGGCTCAAATATACCAATGATTGTAAGGATGGCACAGGACTGGGTAATGTTTCATTCTATTTAAAAATCACATGAATCAGAGCCAACACAACAGCACTTAACAACAATTGCAATGGACAGAAAAATCATCTCCTCTCAAGTTATCCCTGTCCCTGTAACCTGTGACTATATTACAATGGCAAAGGGACTTGGCAGATACAAGGTTTAAGGGCCTTAAAATGGAGAGATTATCCTGGATTATCAAAGTGGACCCAATCTAATCACATGAACACTTACAAGCAAGAGGGAAAGTATAAGAGTGGGTCAGAGAGGTGAAATGGAAGATGAAGGAGATCTGAAGTGTGAATGCAACTCAGCCAGCTGGAGGAAGGGCACCATGAGCCAAGATACACAGTAGCCTCTAAAGCTGAAAATGGTCCTAAGCTTACAGCCAGCAGAAGATGGCGCCTTGGTCCTTCAATTACAAAGGAACTGAATTCAGTCAACAATCCCAATGAGCAGGAAAAGGATTCTCCCTAGCATCTCCAGAAAGGAACATGGCCTGCTAATAAGAGGACCCCTACTGGACTTCTGACCTGCAGGACTGTAACAGTACATGTATGACTAGTGTGTGCTGATTTTTTATGGCAGCCATAGAAAACTAATACACTTTTTGATTCCAGAAATGAGGTACTTTTATAACAAATACCTATTAATGTGCAAATTGCTTTGGAATCAAGTATCAGAGAGAGACTGGGAGAATTTTGATGAGTATGATTTAAAAGAAAAAAAAAAACTTTGAACTTTGAACAGGCTGTTAGTAGAATTATGGACATTAAAGGCTCTGCCAGTGAGGGCTTGGAAGGAAGAGACAAGTATAGAGAAAACCTGAATTGCCTAAATTCCTAACGCCCAAATGGTCATTAACAGACTATTAGTGAGAACCTGGACTTTAAGGACATTGCTGATGAGGGCTCAGAAAGAAATAAGGAATAGCTATAAGGAATAAGGAAAATTCCTTATTCTTAAATAAGGAAACTCAGGGAAAGGAGATCCTTCTTACATAGAGACAGCAAGCTTGCTGGAATTGTGTCCTATGGTACATGAAAAGCAAGACTTATAGTCAGAGTATTTAGCCAGGAAGATTTCCAAGCCAAGTATTGAAGGGGCAGCCTGCTTATAGTAAAATGCCAGAGTGGAGGGGGAAGGGGGGACCATTAAACTAAAGAGAACCAGGGCTTGATAATTTTGGAAATTCTCAGCCTACTCAACTAATAGCAAAAGATACACGTTTAGGAAATTCAAGCAGGAAAGCATGCCTTAGAGAAAAACCAAGGTGCAACTGGACAAGTTTTTGCCAGGAAGATCTGATTTCAGAAAGATTGAAATTTCAGTCACACAAAGGAGTCTTCAAGTGATTAGGGTGTAACTCGGAGATCTTGTCAACTATCTCAACAGAAGTCAGAAATAAAGGAGATTCATTAGAAAGGTCTCTGAATGAACCTCTTGTTGAATGGAATGACATACATTACCCACACAATGCTTAAAAATTTTTATACCAGCAGAAACACCGCCAGTTTACACCTAATAGCGCAGAAAAAGTATGAAGTAAAAGACCTCCTGTGTTGCAGAGTAAACTAGCACCTTTCAGAAGCAGATCCCAGGAGCTTAACTGCATATACCACTCAGGGACCATAGAAAACTATCAGACCCTCACAATTTTAGAGGCAGGAAACAGGCTGATAAAACTACTCAGCTGCAAACATGTGCTACTTTTCACGTAAAAGGAAGGATGACTCAGTGCAGAGCCATAAGCCCAGAGGATGAGCTATGAACCATAGAGGATTAGTCACAGGCCTTGAAACCTAATGGAGCTTGCCCAGCTCGATTTCAAAACTGCTTGGGATTGGTGACTTTTTTTCTATTGTTTCCATTCTTTCCACTCCTTTTTGAGATAACAAAAAAAAAAAAAACAAACTCACTGCCATACAGTAGGTTCTAACTCATAGCTACCCCTCCTTGGGTTTCCAAGATGGTATCTCTGCAGAAGTAGATTGCCCAACCTTCCTTCTGAGGAGTGGCTGGTGGGCTTGAACAGCCAGCCTTCTGGTTAGCAGTCAAATGCCTTAGGCACTGTGCCCCCAGAGCTCCCCCTCCTTGAAATAGAATGTGTGTAAGTGTTATCTTATGCCTGCTCTGCTGTTGTATTTTTGGAGCACACAACTTGTTCTCAGGTTCACAGTGGAGAGGACCAGAGTCTGAGTTAGATGATGATACCTGGATTTTCAAGCTGGTGAGATTCAGGGGAGATTTTAGGACTTTGAGGATTTTAGGATAGAGTAAATGCATTTTGAATATGAGATGGCCAGGAATCTTTGAGGACCAGAGGGCAGATGGTGGTAGGCAGAAGAGTGACTCCTCAAGATGCCCACACCTACACCTATAAATATGTTACCTCACATGGCAAAAGGGACTCTGCAGATGTGATAAAGTTTAAGGACTTTGAGATGGGGAGATTATTCTGGATCATCCATGTGGTTCCCATCTAATCATATGAGCACTTAAACATGGAAGACCTTTCCCAGCTGCAGAGGAGGACTCCACCTGCTGCTGCTGGCTTTGAAGATGGAAGAAGGGTACCTCAAGCCAAAGAATGCAGCAGCCTCTAGAAGCTAGAAACAGCCCTCAGATTAAAGACAGCAGGAAAATGTGGGCCTCAGTGTTACAACTCCAAGGAACTGAATTCTGCCAGCAATCCAAATGACTGGGAAATAGATACTCCCCTTATAGCCTCCGGAAAGGAATGCAAGCCCTGACTGATTTTAGATCAGTGAGACCGGTACCAAACTTCTAATCTATGTACCTGGAAGATTATCCATTTGTGTTGTTCTCAACCCCTAAGTTTGTGGTGATTCATTATGGCAGCAATAGAAAATCAATATAGCTATTATTATCAACTCTTTTTTAGTCTGTTTCTTTAACTTGGCAAGTTAGTAGGAACATTTTCCCAAAGCACTGAATAGTCCCCACAACACCATTTTAAGTGGAGTCCAGTGTTGAGGAGTCTCCTCCTGTTAGGAGCAATTAGATTGTTGACACTTTTTGACTATTATGATTAATGGTAGCGATTATTCCTATATGCATGTTTGCACACATCTTTGATTATTTCCTTAGGAAGTGATAGGCAAAAGTGTACCCATCATTTTTCTATAAGATTTAAGTTGTTGTGGTTGTCTGATGTTGATTCTGAGTCATAGCGACCCTATCGGACACAGTAAAAGTGCCCTATAAGGTTTTCTAGGCTGTAATGTTTACAGGAGCAAGTAGTCAGGGCTTTTCTCCCACAGAGAAGCTGGTGGGTTCAAACTGTCAGCCTTTTGGTTAGCAGCCCAACCCTTAACCACTGTGCCACCAGGGCTTCTTAAGGTTTGAGTAGCAGACATGTAATTTTCAACCTGTGTCTCCCTCCAGAAGTGTAGAATAATGGAATCTGAGGGACCTGAGAGTGACTCCTGTGGGAGCCCATTAGCCAGCCAAGGTCTTTCGTCTTTCACCTTGGTTTCCTCAACTGTTCAGTGGTAAATGTACCTGTCTTGCAAAACTATTCAATATTAATTAGTTAACATTTATAACAGTGCCTGGCCCACAAAAGATATTCCATAAAGATGAGAAAGCACAGTCTATCCATATGCTGAGGATCCTCTGTGGATGCAGAAGAGCTTTATTTTAACCACAGCTTCACAGTCCAGCAAAGTCTGGACATGTGTCTGAACTTGACGGCAGTAACAGGCCTCAGACGACTCTTAAGATTGACCCCTCATCAAAAAAAAAAAAAAAGAAGAAGGTGGGGACCAGGTTTGCTGGTCCAATAGAGCCTGGTGTAACCACTGAGACTATGGCCCCTAGCTGCCCTTCAGGTCTGGAATTGAACCCACAACTGTGGTTTCCAGCCAAACAAAGTACAGGCAAGTGAGTTAAACATTTACCTCAAGTAGACACACGCCCTGGAGAGAACAATCATGGGAGAAGGAAGGGCTGCTTATGCACAGGGAGATAGCTCAGGGTGCAGAAGAGTATGAAGGGATGGACACTGGGAGGAGGTAACTATGGGGAGGAAGTGGGAGGGGAGCTGCTGCATTGTAAATTTTGGTCAATGACATGAGACAAAGTATATGTGAACTGCTGTATGAAAAGTGAATTTACTCTGTAAATCTTCACCCAAATCCCAATAAAAAAAAAAAAAAAGATTGACCCCTCATGCGTCACAAACCTGTCCCTGCCCCCATAAATTTCATTTTCCTTCTACTTGCTGGCTTTTTCATCAAGGTCCAAGTTTTTATTTGAATCAGAAGCAGGTTTTGTGAACAACCAACAGGCCACGCCCTTTCCTTCAAAATGAAGGACCCCACAAATGGCTTGTAAAAACACCTAGTGACTATTCCATCCTAAATGTGAATATGGGTTCATTTCCTATTACCTCAAACTGTCTCCAGTCTCAGGCTGTTTGTGACTTCCCAAGAGCTTGTGAAAAAAGGCCAGAATTTGTAGGACGTTTAGTTGAACCAGTAATTTCTCAGTGTGGTATCCCTAGTGATGCAGTTAAGCACTCAGCTACCAACTGAAAGGTCGGCAGTTCACATCTACCCAAAGGTGCCTTGAAAGAAAGTCCTGACCATCTTTCAAAAAATCAGCCATTGAAAATCCATGAAGCACGGTTCTACTCTGACCACATGGGGTCGCCATGAGTCAGGATCAACTTGATGGCAACTGTTTATTTGTTTTAATACTACAATGAGGTGGTTTGCCTCACACTTAAGGATCAAAAATAATAAAGAAATAGATAACCAGATCCTGGATCAAGTGGGAGAACAATGTGGAACAAAACTCAAAATCATGGGGAAAAAAAAAAAAAGACCAGCTTTGCTGGTCTGATAGAACCTGATGAGATCCCCAAGACCATGGCTCCTTGTTACCCTTCAGGTCCAGAACTGAACTCACTCCTGTGGCTTCCAGCCAAACAATAGACAGGCATACGGGCTGAACATTTATATCAGGTAGATATACTCTTTGGAATGATCAGATCAATCATGGGAGAACAGAAGGGCGGTGTTTGCACAGGAGACAGTTGGGGCAGGGGGTGTGCATGGGAGGGAAGGACACAGGGAAGAGGCAACTCCAGGGAAGAAGTGGGAAGAGAGCTGTTACATTGTGGGGAACTGCAGTCAATGTCATGAGATAGAATATATATGAACTGCTGTATAGAAAATGAATTTGCTCTGTAAACTTTCACCCAAATCACAATAAAAAATTTAAAAACAGGAAGAAAGAAATAGATAACCTCATTTCATCCCAGGTGCTGGAAATACCCACTTCCTATTTCATCCATGTCTCTCCTCCATGTCGCTCCAGCCTACCCTCTCCTGTCCCCTGAGGTAGTGTCTTTGGTGTATGAAAATCATGAAATGTCACCTTGTATCATCCAGTGACAAGGTGAGAAAGGAGGAGAAAGAGAAAAAGGAAAACTGCCCCAAACAAGAGAAGTAAGTACTAAGAGAAGTTGCCTCCAAGACGGGGTTTAATGGTCACAGGATGGACATGCGGGCAGTGTCCTGGCCCCTCCCCATGTGGTATCCAGAACCATGCTTCTCACTGCAATGCGGCAGGCCTTGGCATTAATCCTGAGAGGGAAAGTGCCTAAGGCTGAAGAACAGGAGTCAGTCCCAGACCAGGGATCATGTGAGGATCCTATTCTGCAGGAAAAGTCCTGCCCCAAAGGTATCTTACACATAAAGAGAATTCTCTGCAGGCTCAGGTGAGCAGTCTGTCCTGTCCCTGTGAACCTGCTCATTGGGTGAACAAACACATTCTATTTGTTCACACAAATGGTGGCTGTTTACACCATGTTCTCGGTAAGCTGGGGTCTTCTCTTGGGCACTGGAAGATATTATCTCCACAAACCCCAATCCAAACCCAATGATGATGAGAATTGTTGGGAACATTCCAAAGCCAAGTCAGTGAGCAGTTACTCTTGCACTTGCTGAGGCCAAGCAAAGGCAGAAAGACATCTGGGATCCCCTCTGGGACACGAGTGGCTCTTCAAAGCCTGAACTGGCATGTGGGACATATGAGTGGCAGGGCAGGGGGAGACACATGGACCCAGACAAAAAGAAGAATCTCAAGTATAGCCTATAAGGTTTAATTCTCAGATAATGTTGAAAACAAAAACAGAAAGCACCCTAAGGTATTTCTTTTGTTTAATAGTGGACCACATAACCTAGATTACTCACAGGTTGGTCCTTTTTGATGGAGAAGAGGGATCCAAGTGCTTAGAAATGAGCCTTTAGATCATCTGCACAAACAGGATACACAGGGTGGAGAGAATTCCCAAGGGAACACTCCAGGCCTTCCAAATTGAGCCTAAAGAGGAACTACCTCAGAACCACCTGGACAATGTTTAAATGTACATTTCCAGGCTCCAGTCTTGGAGGGGGCCTGGGTGGGGTCTGGGAATCGACATTTTACTAAGCTCCTGCAGATGTCTCCTAAAGCTTCCTCTGCAGCCCCCAGTGACATTACCATGCTGCATCTTCATTCCCAGCATCCTGAGGGCATGGATGTTGCTACAGGGTGCATGGGAATGTTGTCACCATGATGTTATAGCCAACATGGCTCACCCCAGGCTTCCATGCAATGTTGAGCTGGGATGAAAGGAGCAAACTCTTCCAGTCCATGCCCTGCCTCCCAGCCCACCTCACTACACTCAGACACTCCATGTGCCCCGTGACTGGGTGGACCCTGTAATGGATGGCCACCTCTTGAGCTTCAGCCTGAGATTGTCCTGGGGTCTCTAAACTAATCCAGGTCTCCGAGACCTTCCAAAGTGGTGGTGTTTCAACACATTGTACCGTTTATGTGTATCTGCGTTTTCAGAAGGAAGAAGGAGGCCATGATGGTAGACCCCTCTAGCAACATGTACTACCACTGGCTGACCATCATCACCGTGCCTGTCTTCTACAACTGGTGCCTGCTGGTTTGCAGGTAAGGATGGGTCTCCTACTAGGACGTGTAGAGATGGAGGGCACAGGGAGGGAGTGAGGGCAGCCATCTTGCCACCATGCAGGTGCATGCACCTCAGGTTCTCCATTAATAAAATGAAACAAAACCACTGCCATCAAGTCAATTCTGACTCATAATGACCCTTTAGGATAGAGTAGAACTGCCCCCATAGGTTTTCCAAGGCTATAAATCTTTATGAAAGCAGACTGCCTCATCTTTCTCCCACAGAGCACCTGGTGGGTTCAAACCAACTAAGGAGGCTCTAAATGAGGGCCATCAGATGCTCCGAAGCACTAGTAGGGGACTGTCCTTGAGATCTGCAGTGAGGGTTCTGGCACTTTGGGGCATTCTTAGGCAAGTTGGAGAAGGAGGGCTCAGGTGCAAATTGCTACTCCTTTGAAGGGAGAGAGGATGTTTTGAAGTGTGCTGCAGGTGGGGTCCTAAGGGAGGGACGCTGTTCCCTGAGTGTCAGCTGTGGGCTTAGAGGCCTTTCTGGGCAGGCCTGCAGCCAGGGGATGCGGGGACAGACTATGGCATGAGGGTGAGCCAGGTTTGGGGGTGGGCTTTCAGGCATTTTGGAGGAATCATCAAGACCAGGATGCTGATGCTCTCTGAGTGTAAGTCACAGGCTTTGGAGCCTTCCCAAACCAGCTTGCTGGGTGGGCATGCTTGAGCAAGCTGCCGCTCTTCTAAGGACAAGCCAGAGGCCTTGGGAGTGTTCCTAAGCAAGCTTGCAGGACAGGGATGAGGAGTGAGCGCCACTCTTGAGAGTTAGCAGGGGGCTTTGGGGGTCTTTCTTATCAAGTTTTCAAGAAAGGGTGCAGGGGCCAGCCACCACTTTTTTTGAGGGTAAGCAGAATCATTGGAGCTTTCCTGAGCTGGCCTGCAGGGTGGACATGGAGTAAGCTGCTACTCTCCTATGGGTAGATGCTGGGGGGGGGGGGGGGGACAGGGAATGTGGATTGGACAGACCATCATGCAAGACAGGGGTGACCCTGCTGGTATTTTTTTTTTTTTTTTTTTTTTTTTTTTTTTTATTTTTTTTTAGGGGGCAATGGGGGGGGGGGGGGGGTAGTTGTGGGACAGATCTGAGCAAGCTTCAGGATAGGAATGCAGGACAAGTTGCTACTCTTCCGTGGGTGAGCAGGGGGAGGAGAGTGTTCCCCAAGCTGCAGCACTGAGACTCAAGGACAAAAACAGTTGCTTTTCTGAGACTCACTGGGGGAGGCATAGTGGTGGTCGGGACATTTTTGAGCAAGCTTGCCAGCCTGAGATACTTGGGTGAAATGCTGCTTTTCTGAGGATCAGCAGGGGCTCTGGGATATTTCTAACAAGTCTGTAGGGCAGGGTTTTAGCAGCAAGCTGCTACTCTCCTGAGAGCAAGCAGTGGGTACAAGGTTTTCCTATGCAAAGTGTGGAGTCCCTGGGTAGTACAAACCATGCACCTGCTTGGCTGCTAACCAAAAGATTAGAGGTTTGAGTCCACCCAGAGGTGCCTTGGAAGAAGGCCTGGCCATCTACTTCTGAAAAATCAGCCATTAAAAACCCTATGGAGCACAGTTCTACTCTGACACACATGGGGTCACCATAAGTAGGAGTCAACTCAATGACAAACCAAAAAACCAAACTCACTGCTATTGAGTTGGTTCTGACTCATAGCGACCCCTCCTTGGGTTTCCAAGGCAATATCTCTACGGAAGTAGATTGCCCAGTCTTCCTTCCAAACCTGATTAAAATCTGAAACAGGGCCAGGTTAATGATGACACCCTTCAGATAGCCTCTGGTTGCCATTGGGGGCTAAAACCCAACCCATACCTCAAGCACCAATCTGTGAACCCTTGGGGCATCTTTTTCTAAACTGCACACAGACATTGCATACATTGGTTTGGCTGCACACTGAAAGATTGGGGGTTTGAATTCACCCAGAAGTACCCTGGAAGATAGGCCTGGCGATCTACTTCTGAAAAGCCCTGTGAAGCACAGTTGTCCTCTGACACACTTGGGGTTGACAGGAGTCTAAATCAACTCCATGCCAACTGGTCTTTTTAAACAAGATGCAGTGTGAGGATATAGGGGTGAGTTGCTACTCTCTGAGAGTAAGCAAGGGGTTTAGGGAGCACTTCCAAGCAAGCATGCAGAACAGGGAGTAGGGTTGCCTGCTGCTTTTTTCAGGGTGGATGGCAGGGCCTAGGGGCATTCCTCAGCAAGCCTGCAGGACAGGTTTGCAGGGCCAGTCTCTGCACTTCAGAAGGTACACAGGGCTTTGGGGCTTTCAAGCTGTGGGACCAAGATGCAGGGAAAGGTGCTACTCTCTGAGTGTCAGTGGTGCCTTTAGGGCTTTCCTGAGTCGGCATTCAAGGCAAGGATGCAGGGATGAGTGCCACTCTTCTGAGAGTAAACGGTGGGCTTCATGGCATTCCTGAGCCAGCTTGAAAGATAGGGAGGCAGGGCCAAGCTGCTGCTCTGGACCGGCTAAGAGGTAGGCTGTAAGAGGTAAGTGGTGAGCAGACTTGCTGCTGTCTGAGTATAAGGGGGTGGGGGATTCAGTTTATCTGCAAGCCTGAAGAACAGGTAAGACCATCTGCATTTCTGAGAGTAAATAGGGCTGGGGTAGGCTTGGAACTTGGGTCCTTCCCTCTCATGCCTTCAGTAATGGGATGCATGGACTAACTGCTATTCTTCTGAGGGTAGGCGGGATTTTTGAATGTTGCTGAGCAAGTTGCAGGGCCGTGATATGAGGACAAGCTACTGCTCTCTTGAGGTTAAGAAGTGAATTTGGGGATACCAATACTGACTGTATGAGGAAGAATGAGCAGAAAGATCTAGAACACAGAAAATATTCACTGGCCTGCTAAGTTGTTGATGTCTTATTTCATATTTTTGTTGGGATTCAATTCCAGAAATCTAGCCCCATTACCTGACTCTACCAGTGAGGCCTAAAGTCCCATACCTTCCTGCTAAGAAGCAACGCAGCCTGCTCTTCTTGATCAATCCTAGCTCTTCTTGTTAAGAACCCTGTGATCCTGAGAAAGAAAAGCCTGGGTTTCCTCATCAGAAACCTGTGACGGTCATGCTGGGGTAGAAACACCATAGGAAGGCATTCCCGGGAATAAATGATACAGTATTTGTAGCACTGAGCCGGCCCTGCACTTGGCCCAGGCTTCAGACACAGCAATCCTTCTCACACTTGGCTTAGGGCCTGTTTTGATGAGCTTCAGTCTGAGCATCTGATGCTGTGGCTGGTCCTGGACTACTCAGCAGACGTCCTCTACGGCCTGGATGTGCTGGTGCGAGCCCGCACAGGTGAGCAGGTGAGGGGGCGGGGACAGGCCTGGGCCTGAACACAGACCCATCAGGGTGCAAGAGGGTGGGGGTGAGTCATGGGGACCGCAGAGTGTATTTAGGAAGATCCAAAATGCTAGGTTGGGTAGTAGTATCTTTGACAGTGCCCAGGGAGGCTGTGGAACCTCCCAACTGCAAGAGTAGGTGGTGCCACCACAAACTCCCTCAACCAGGAACCCTTGACAGGACCCTGAGCAAGGACCTTCACTCTCACAACCAGCTGTGTGAACCTGAATGAGTCAAGCTGCCTCTCTGGGCCTCATTTATTACACCTGCAATCTCAACGGACCCTTCTAGCTATGACTACTCAACAGGCGAGGAAGCAGGAGGTTGTCAGTCCTGGAGTTTGTCTTTCTGGACAGCCATAGGGTCTAGGACACGTTACTCTGTGGCTTTTACAGGAGTTTTAATATAACAAGAACTAAAATCTGAGAGGAGTCCCTGGGTGGTGCAAATGGTTAATGTGCTCAGCTGCTATCCAAAAATGTGGAGTTTGGATCCACCCAGAGGTGCCCAGGAAGAAAGACCTGGCCATCTACTTCTGAAAAAAACAGCCATTGAAAACCCTAAGGAGCACAATTCTACTTTGGCACACACCATGAATGAGTGTCAACTTGATAGCTCCTGGTTAAAATCGGAAATAAGACCAGGCTAATGATGACTTCCTTCACATCTCTGGTTACCAGTGAGGGCTAAAATCCAACCCATGCCTCGAACTACAAGCCATATACCCTTGGAGCACCTTTATCTAAATTGCACACACATATCATGTAAGTTGGTAGAGGCCATGCTTGTAAGTTACAAGATTTTAGAACTAAAAACTGTGTAATAGTTGTCCATGTGAACACCACCAGGTCACCGTGTGCAACATGTACAACAAAAACCTCTGTGTGGATTCACAGTGTATGAAGCATTTTTGAGCACAGCTTGTTTTCTCATATATTTTTATATGAGAAAATTCTTATAACTACTGCATAGGATGAAAAACACAGGCATGATCATATCTGTTTTATTGATTTAAAAACCAAGGCCCAGAGACACTCTGTGACTTGCTCAAAGTCCATAGTCAGTGAGCAGCAGAGTCAGACTGGAACCCCATCTTCTTCCATATTGTTGCCTGGCATCAGAACCCTTAGAGACTTCAAGGGCACAGCTGGAGGCTTACAAGGGGTTCAGAGCCAGCCCAGACTGTCTACCACTCCCTTGTCAGGTAAGCCAACATAGATCCAGAGCACCATAAGTGACCATTGGGCATGACTATCCCTGGTCCCAAGCTATAGTGGGACAGGTTGCCTTCATTCAGCCATTGACCCTACCTCTTCTTGTGCTTGAGTAGGATCCTTAACAATCTAAGATTCAACAGAATTGGGGGGGGGTGGAGAATGGGATGAAAGACAAAACTAAGTGGCCATAGATCATGCCCCAAAAAAAAAATTCTCTGAATTAAGAGAAAATGGCAGTGAGTCCAACAAAACAAGAGTGCCACTCAATGACTCAATAAACATGTGTATAACAAACAAATGACATCAGGAATGGGAGGCTGAGAAACAAGGTGTCCCTTCTGTGTGACAACAAACTTGAGTTTTACTTTTTAGAGGAGGCAGTCCCATCCTCAGTCTAAGCCCTCAAAGAGTAACATTGGACCAGCAGCATCAGCATCACCTGGGAACTAGAAATACCTGGACCTCCCCACAGACTGAAAGTCTGGGGACGAGGCCCAGCAATCTACGTTTCACAAAGCCCTCAGCAGGATGACCCTGATGGTCACCAAAATTTAAAAACCACTCATGATATTATTTGCTCTAATTTTTTTAGTTTGTTTCCAGATGTTAAAAGAAAAAAAAAAAAAATGGAGGGAGCATGGCCTACTTAATTGATTTCACCAGTTAACACCTCATACGCCTAATGCCTGTTCACTCCCAGGCGAGTCTGCTCTCGAGCTCTACCTGTTTTAAAAGCCCTTTGGGTGATTCTAAGGAGCCCTGGCAATACAATTGTTAAGTACTTGGCTACTAACCAAAAGGCTGGAGGTTCAAACCCACGCAGTGGCTCTATGGGAGAAAGACCTGGCAACTGTTCCCATAAAGATTACAGCCTAGAAAACCATATGGGGCAGTTCTCCTCTGTCACATGGGGTCTCTGTGAGTCAAGATTGACTCCATGAGACCTAACAGCAAAAATGACAACTCACAATAGCAATGGGTGATTTTAATGTGCAAGTAGCTCTAATGAGAACTACTGCATTCTTGAGCAATGTGTTTAAAAGGTGGGTTGTGCCCCATTCGTCATCAGTGAAGTGAATTTGATAGGTCATGATCTTCATTTTTTTAATTTTTATTACTAATATTTTCAAACATACAGAAAAGCAAAGACAACATTATTACGAACCCCCATGTGCCCCTCAGCCAGCTTCAACAGTTGTCAACATTTTGCCAAACTTGTTTCATCTCTCCCCTACCCACCCTCCGCTTTGTTGGGGGAGCTGGAACATTTTAAAGCAAATAACCACTTCAGCGTGTATCTCTCTCTTTCTCCCTAATCCCCACTGCCATCGAGTTGATTCCAACTCATGGCAACCCTATAGGACAGAGTAGAACTGCCCCATACGGTTTCCCAGTCTGTATATTTTTACAGAAGCTGATTGCCTCATCTTTCTCTTGCAGAGTGGCTGGTAGGTTCCAATTGCTGACCTTTTTGTTAGTCACTGAATGCTTTAAGCACTGTGCCACCAGAGCACCTTATCTCTCACTCTTTGTTGTTGTTGTTATGTGCCGTCGAGTCAGCCCTGACTCATAGCGACCCCTCCTTGGGTTTCCGAGGCAGTATCACTACGGAAGTAGGATTGCCCAACCTTCCTTCCGAGGAGTGGCTGGTGGGTTTGAACCGCCAGCCTTCTGGTTAGCAGTCAAGTGACTTAGCCACTATGCTACCAGAGCTCCCTATCTCTCACTCTAAAGGACTCTTATTTTGAAAAATTTAACATCATTCCTTGCTATCTTCTAATACCCAATCATATTCAAATTTTCCCAATTGATCTACATTTTTTTAAAATTAGAATTGAATAGATTAGAATAGTATAAAATAGAAAACATCAGAGTGTAGTTCATGTAGTAATGATAAACGTGGCTTTATGAAGTTGCTTCTATTATACACATACAACTACATCTTGTATAGTCACAATGTAAAATATCTTCCTATGGGTTGTGGTCAACATAAACCACTTCACTGATGTCCAAGTGAGCTCCCTCTTCTTCTTTAGGCTTCCTTGAGCAAGGCTTGATGGTCAAGGATGCTGAGAGGCTATGGAAACATTACATGAAGACCATTCACTTCAAGTTGGATGTGTTGTCTCTGGTCCCCACGGACCTGGCTTATTTAAAGCTGGGCATGAACTACCCAGAACTGAGGTTCAACCGCCTACTGAAGTTTTCCCGGCTCTTTGAATTCTTTGACCGCACGGAGACAAGGACTAACTACCCCAATGTGTTCAGGATTGGGAACCTGGTCTTATACATCCTCATCATCATCCACTGGAATGCCTGCATCTACTTTGCCATTTCCAAGTTCATTGGTTTCGGGACAGACTCCTGGGTCTACCCAAACATCTCAAACCCAGAGTATGGGCGCCTCTCCAGGAAGTACATTTACAGCCTCTACTGGTCCACCTTGACCCTGACCACCATCGGTGAGACGCCGCCTCCCATCAAAGATGAGGAGTATCTCTTTGTTGTCATAGACTTCCTGGTGGGTGTCTTGATTTTTGCCACCATTGTGGGCAACGTGGGCTCCATGATCTCTAACATGAATGCTTCACGAACAGAGTTCCAAGCCAAGATCGACTCCATCAAACAGTACATGCAGTTCCGCAAGGTGACCAAGGACTTGGAGACTCGGGTTATCCGGTGGTTCGACTACCTGTGGGCCAACAGGAAGACAGTGGATGAGAAGGAGGTGCTCAAGAGCCTTCCAGACAAGCTGAAGGCTGAGATCGCCATCAATGTGCACCTGGACACTCTAAAGAAGGTCCGCATCTTCCAAGACTGTGAGGCAGGGCTGCTGGTGGAGCTGGTACTGAAGCTTCGACCCACTGTGTTCAGCCCTGGGGATTATATCTGCAAGAAAGGGGACATTGGGAGGGAGATGTACATCATCAAAGAAGGCAAGCTGGCTGTAGTGGCCGACGATGGGGTCACCCAGTTCGTAGTCCTAAGTGATGGGAGTTACTTTGGGGAGATCAGCATCTTAAACATAAAGGGGAGCAAGTCAGGCAACCGCAGGACAGCCAACATCAGGAGCATTGGTTACTCGGACCTGTTCTGCCTCTCAAAGGACGACCTGATGGAGGCCCTGACCGAATACCCTGATGCCAAGAGAGCCCTGGAGGAGAAGGGACGGCAGATCCTGATGAAGGACAACCTGATTGATGAGGACCTGGCCAAGGCCGGGGCAGACCCCAAGGACATCGAGGAGAAGGTGGAGTACCTGGAGTCCTCCCTGGACACCCTGCAGACCAGGTTTGCACGGCTCCTGGCTGAGTATAACGCCACCCAGATGAAGATGAAACAGCGTCTCAGCCAGCTGGAAAGCCAGATGAAGACCTGTGGGAGCAGCTTCCTGTCTGATGGGGAGGCTCCTAGGGATGCTCCTAAAACAGAGGACAAAGAACAGTGAAAATGCAGGCACCCGTCTCCTGCTTCACACGGTCAGCTGTCGGTGTAAGCACTATGTGGCCACAGCTGCACAGTGCTGGTCTTGGCAGAGGTTTAATTCCAGCTCTCATCGCTCTTTCCAAGCTGTGTGGCCTCAGGAGAGAGCCTCAATATCCTCATCTACAAAATGGGACTCTTATGTTGGCTGCAGTTAAGTGGCATGTTATTGTGAGGCCCACATTAAGCACTGCACGAGGCAGGCTTTATAAGATGTAAAGTGTCCTCAATCCGAGCATATGACCATGAGCACACAGAACTCCAATTATTATTATTTTTTTTTTTTACAGAAACAGTAAGGAGGTTTTAGACTTTTTTAACTTCTGTAAAGGAATATTTTCTTGCCAATGGAGAATTATTTAGTTCTTGCCCTGCTCCCGGACCTCGTCCCTTCTGAAAATAGAGATGTGAAAGGAAGCTGAAAGTACAATATAGTGACTAGCTTCAACTTTACACAAGATGGTTTAGGGAAGTATTTCTGAATCTGGTATCTCTTTGGGACCCTAGATACCCTGACCTTTTGTCCGGCCACTGCAAACAGAAAGTATCTGAAAGGAAGACAGGTCAGCTTATCTGAGATCTCTTAAAGCAACCCAGACTCCCAGCCATTTAGCTCCTGTGAAACCAGAATCTTTTTCATAGAAAAGAGAATCCCAGTGAGGTAAGAGACATCTCCTTTTCTCTTGCCAAAGGGACTCAAAGACACCTACATCCTCTGTCCTTGGGTTGGGGCACTGGGGCAACCTATTCTGGCTCCAGGATAAGAGCTGTGTTCAGGGAGGAGCCTTTTGGATTGGGGGTTGGAATTGTGTCCTAAACCAAACAAAGCTGACAACAAGGACTTTTAGAAGATGAAACCCTCAAGCCATATCTTTGCAAATTGCCCCTTTACCCACTGAAAAGGCAGCCTCACTTCCTCTTGGAATTATATCCTAAGGCAAAGCTCTTAGCTAGCTAACACTTGCATTGAAGAACCTAGCTTTTTCTTTTTAATCAGTAAATAGAAATTTATTGCCATTTAAAAACAGATTTATATATTTGGCTTCTATGATTGTGACTTATGACTTTTGTGTTCTAATCCTTCATTCAAATAGACACTGAAATTACACAAAAATGAGTTATTTGCCTGATGCAAAGAAGTCAGGTGTACAGATTTTGTCTTGTCTTTTCTTTCTCTTCCCTTATTCTTTCCCGCCCTCCCTCCCTTTCTTCTTTCTTCTTCTTCATTTTTTTAATTCCTCCTCCTCCTCCTTTTCCTCCTTCTCCTCTTCTTTCCATCAGACAAACTGTTCCCCTTTGCTTTGACAACTTTGCAATCTTTGTGGTCTGGTGTTATAATCCCTATTCTCTGTAACTGGGCCCTGCTGTAGTTCATACAGAAGGTGCTACATTTTTTTAAGTATGTATTTTGGATTTACATAAGTCTCTTCTGGGTTTTATTTTAAATAATTTGACCATTTTTCACTTTTTTTAATGAATTTTAAAAGGTTTATAAAAGGAAAGTGTGATCCAAGCTCATATCATCAGCAAAATGTAACTAGCAATGTTTTCTCGAAGAATATTTATTTTAGGAGCTCTGGTAACATAGTGCCTAAGGCACTTGACTGCTAACCAGAAGGCTGGTGGTTCAAACCCACCAGCCACTCCTCGGAAGGAAGGTTGGGAAATCTACTTCCATAGTGATACTGCCTTGGCAATCCAAGGAGGGGTCACTATGAGTCAGGTCTGACTCCACGGCACATAACAACAACAACAACATATATATTTAAAAAGCCTTAACTATTCATTATGCCTACATTCAAATTTGCACAGGAAAAATAAAGTTCTAGATTTAAAAAAAAAAAAAATGCTAAGTGATTCCTGTCTCAGCTCTTGTCACAAAGGAGGATTTGGTCTCAAGGTACCTTTCTAGGGCAGAGAGCCTGGATTTCCTGAGAACAGGTGCTGATAAATGGGGGATGGCACACACTCAATGGGAGGGGATCTGCACAGACAGAGCCAGTGAGAAAATGCTACTGAACTTGCAACATTTGTCAGAGTAAATAATCAAGGTGTTCAAATATGAAAGAAGTGTGTCCCAGCTGTAAAATTATACAACCACTGTGGAAAGCAGTATGGTGATCCCTTAAAAAGTTGGAATTAGAAATACCATTTGATCCAGCAATCCTATTACTAGGTATATATCCAAAAGAAGGGAGAGCCAGGACAAGAACAGATATATGCACACCCATGTTCATCTCAGCACTATTTATAATAGCAAAAAGATGGAAACAACTTAGGTGCCTGTCAACAGAAGAATGGATAACCAAACTATGGTACATACACACAATGGAATACTATGAAACCCTAGAGAATAATGTATAATCTGCAAAACACCACATAATGTGGATGAACTTGGAGGACATTATGCTGAGTGAAATAAGTCAATCACAGAAGGACAAATATTGTATTAGTCTGCTATTGTGAAAAGGCAAGGGAATTTTTATAAATAGAAGGAAATTTTCTTTGTTGGTTACTGGGGTGGGAGGGGAGGGGAGGGAACACTGCAAAGAAAAAGAAATGCATTGACCTATGTCACTTTAGTTTTGTGTATTTCACTGTACATAAACTGTATTTAAATAAAATGTATTTAAAAAAAGAAGTGTGTCCCAATCAAGATGATCAATTTACTGACATAGCTTGTCCAAGGGCACCATAAGGTGTGGTCAGGTAATTCAGGTAGTGGGCATGAGTGGGCAGGAAGCTGGGGGACAGCCTGGCTAAGAATAATTCCAGCTCCTTCCACAGCTGATGCTTAAGGAGTAAATTGACTGTGGGCTCTAGATTCAGACTCACTTTTGATAAAGGCACAACCTTGACTCCTGTTACTCCGGCAAGTTATTTTGTCTCTCCAGGCCTTACTTTCCTCACCTGAAAAATGGGATTGATATTGCCAACCTCACAGGGTTGTTGCAAATAAATTTTAAATAATAGATTATAACAGGGATGGTTTGTTAAGCCATTTGGGTGCAGAAAACATCACATTAATTTTCTGGAAGAATAAATGAATAAAACAATCTAGTTAGCCGCCAACTGCTGAAGCTGTTAGGAAGTTAAATTTCAGTTTCTCTAGGGATTCCTTAAAATCTTGGGGCATTTACAGTCTCAGAACTGAGAAAGGTTTGTTGTCTTCCACCCATCATGGCTGTCACTGGAGACTGTCCCTCTCCCTGTGCCAAATTCAGTCATGGGGATTGATACTGAGAGTCAGCTTCTCTTCAGGTCTTTTGTGGAAATCTAAGCTCATTGAAATGTGTGTGTGTTTCTCTCGGGTGACAGAGAGTCCTCGAGACAGTAAAGGAGAAGACTGCTGGTGGTACCACTTGAAGTAGGAACACATGCAAGTCACCAGGCAGAGCTCTGAGGAGGTGGGAAGTGGCAGGATCTTGGATAAGGGGAACTGGAACCTAGGCTCTGGGGAACTCTGCAAAAATCCCAGAGCGCCAAGCTTGGCACTGAAAGTCCTATAGCTGCCAGACCTCAAGGAATCATACAGTGTTAGACAAAGGAAATCTCAGCAGTAACCAGTGTAGACAGTTGCTTGAACAATTTCTCTTAGAAAGATCAGCACGAGGCTGGTCCCCATGAGGCGGAGGTCAAAGATGTCCCAAATGCCCAAACTACCATGCCACTCCATCATCTCAGACATTAACCCCTCCTCCTCCTCCCAGTAATTTCCCCAGTCTTAGGGTTCTGAATTTCGCTGTAACGCCTCACA